GTGCTCCAGGAATACAAACTGATATGAAAAATGGCTTATGGTAGATGTAGTTAAGACAGTCAATATATTTTAACATTAGAAAATTCAGTCAATCCTTCATATCCATGGGTTTTATACCCATGGATTCAACCAACCTCAGACTGAAAATATTAGGGGAAAAAAATACATCTGTACTACACATGAACAGACTTCTCTTTCTTGTCATTATTCCCTGAACAACACAGGATAACAACTACTTACATAGCATATACATTATATTAGGTATTATAAGTAATCTAGAAATGATTTAAAGTATATGGAAGGATATATATAGGTTATTTGCAAATACTACACTATTTTATATGAGAGACTTGAGCGTTCGTGGATTTCGGTATCCACAGGAGGTCCTGGAACCAATCCCCTGTGGATACCAAGGGACTACTATATATTACAAAGCCACGTGCTTTGGAATTACTTCATTGGTTCCTTCTGTTTTCATTAACACTGATATCTAGTTTAATATGAAAAGGAACTTGAAATCTTGAAAATTAGAACATTGTTATTTTTTTCTACTTGCAATGCAAAATCTATTTTGCTTTTTTGCTTCTAGGAAAATATTCTGTTGTGATATTTGATACATATGTTGGCCACTCAAAGTCAGAACTTTTCAAAGTAATCAGTAAATTGAATCAACAGAAAAATATTCATTACCTTGGGGATGCATTAATAATTTAAAGTTTTTAAATTCAACACGTATAGAAAAATCAAGCTTAGTAATACTTTAATGTTATTGTACCAATGTATTTTTTTAAATTAAGACTTCTATATGCAGCAGGGCGTGGTGGCAAACCTGTAGTCCCAGCTACTAGGGAGGCTGAGCCAGGAGGATTACTTGAGCCCAGGAGTTCAAGCCTGGGCAACATAGTGAGACGTCATCTCGTAAATTTAAAAAACAAACAACAGAAAATTCTACGTGTGGTAAAGGGTTAACTCAGCAAGCTTGGGTTGCTTAAACCTTGCACATTCCAAAGAAAGGTCTGACCTCAGTGCTGAGCTTTGGCTCCTGGAAAATGAGCTCTGAGCCCCTGGAATATCCCACCTGATAGGAATGTTTCTGTTTGCCTGAGGCGTTAGACCGTACCAGATAGACAGTTTATGCTAACAATATGATTTATAGTGAATACCTGTTTTCCTGTGTCTAAGACTCTGGACTGCACTGTATTCATTTGACCTGGGGGATTTAGGGAGCTGATACTGGATAGCTAAAGTAAGTCACATAAGCACTAAATGCTTACCTGTCTGACCACCAGTAAAACTCTGGACATTCAGACCCAATGGATGAGCTTCCCTGGTTGGCAACACTTTTCACGTATTGTCACACACCATTGCTGGGGGGATTAAGCACTGTCTATAAAACTCCACTGTGAAATGACAACTGGAAGCTTGCACCTGGTCTCTCCTGATTCTGCTCTATGCAGCTTTTCCCTTTGCTGGTTTTAATTTCCATTCTTTTGTTGTAATAAACCATAATGGTGAATAAAACATCTTGTCTGAGTTATGTGAATCCTTCTAGTAAATCATTGAACCTGAGAGTGGTCTTGGGGACCCCTGACACAATGTGCCTAGAGTTTAATGGTTCTGATAAGTTTACAATTTCATGTTATCTTTAAACTTGTATTTATTGACTCCTCCTTTGTATCAAGCCCTTGCCCTAGCCTGTGCTTAGAGTATCCTTTTCCTAGATATCCCAGATATGGCTTGTCCTTTACTTTCTCACTGAAGTGTCACCTTTCAGTGAGGCTCTCCCAGATTACGCTATTACTTGTGTTTGTTTTGTTTTGTTTTTAAAACTACCCTATTTTAAATTGCTATCTCTGCTTTACTTCCTAGCATTCCCTCCCCCTTTTACCCTGCAGTACTTCTTGGTTTTTTTTTCCTTTCCATGTACCCTATTTCCTTATTTATTAGGTTTGTTGTTTATTTTTCTCCCCTCACTAAAATGCAAGCTCCATGAAGGCTGTTCACTCTTCTTGTCACTCTTTTTGCCACCACATGTTCAGTTCAGTCTTCTTCCTACTATTAGAGAAGACCCTTGCCCCTTTTCTTAGGAAGACTGGCTTAAAGTCCCATCTATTCATAGCATCGAACTCAAAGTCCAGAGTTTCACAGTGATGCACCGGATTTTTGGGGTTTTTTTTAATCCTCTTTAATTTAATTTTAAAATCTGCAAAACATTTGTAGTTTTCAAAAAAAAAATCAAAACTAAATTTAAAGTTTAATGAGAAGTCTCATTCCTATATTCCTGTTTCCTTTACCCAATTCTTATTCACTTCCTGTACATAATCTTTTTTTTTTTTAAGATTTTGGAGACAGTGTCTTGCTCTGTCACCCAGGCGGGGAGTGTGGTGGCACCATCAAGGGGCTCACTGCAGCCTCAAACTCCTGGTCTCAGGTGATCCTCCTACCTCAACCTCCTGAGTAGCTGGGACCACAAGCATGTGCCACCATGCCCAACTAATTTCTGTATTTTTTGTAGAGTCGGGGTTTCACCATGTTGCCCGGGCTGTTCTCAAACTCCTGAGTTCAGGCAATCTGCCCACCTCAGTCTCCCAAAAAGTGCTGGGATTATAGACATGAGTCACCACATCCAGCCTTCTTGTGTTACTTTTCAGCAAAAATAGAAATATTTATCAAAAAATAATGAAGATTTAGTCTTACACTGGCGATAAATATCCCACACTTGTGTACAGGACTCATGTGGCTAAGAACATCATATTAGAATAAATTAAACTATTATTTATTACTTTGGGATATTTAGTCATTGGCATTTTCCACATTTAGGTTATAAAAGAATTCATGTTTTCTTCTATTACTTATGTGGTTACATCTTTTTACATCTTATCCATATGGAGTTCATTCTGTTACATGTTGTGAGATGTAGATCCAAAGAGCTATGAAATCCCAACATTTTTAAATACTAAATTATTTAATACTCTCAGTATTTAAAACTAAATTATTTAATACTCTCAATGTGTTTAAAAGGTTAGATAGATATCATTTCTGATATTTTCTTGTTCTATTTTGTATGTAAATGCCCTTAATGTTTTTTTTCAGGAAATCAATGAAAATTCTCTTAAAAGGTTAAGTGTCTACTTAGAAAACCTCCAGAAACCAGGCTTCAAGTCTTTGAAACCAACTCAGCTTACATTTTATGTAAGAGAAACAGACCAGAGTTCCTCTGATGGCCAGGAACCTTTTAGTACTTCCGGTACGTTTTTTATTTCTGGTGTGTCCCTTGCAAGCTTCATGTTAAATGTGTTCATTAATTTTGACATTGTCAGAATGCCTTTGGATCAAAACTTTGGTGATAAAAAAATAATAGCATTTAATTGATTGTTTTCCTAGAATTAGATTCTATTCCTAGCTGCATATGTTTGAACAAGTGATTTTTTTTACATGTTTAAACTTTTTTGTTTTTAAAACTAAAGTGTTCCTATTTGTCCTCTTCCCAGTTCAGTGTTATTTTAAGTGTTAAACATGTCCAAACAATATGTATTTCTAAAAACTACAGCTTGCATTCTCTTATTTAGTCCTCCGAATACTCTGAAGCTGGAAGTATTTACCCAATTGTAACTTAGTGATGTTCAGTGCCTTTCCCAAGACCAGAGAGAAAGAGTATAAGTCTTGAACCCAGGTTTTTTAACTCCAACCTTATGCTGCTTCTAAAATCCAATTGATCTTAGTAGACAGCCACCTTTTCACTGCCTTTTGTCACTGCTTTTCCATATTTAAAATTAAGGACAAATATTTAGGTTAAGGTCACTAAAGGCCTATCATTTCTCTAATTATACATGCTTTTGATGATCCTTGAGGAAATAAATATATTTTTAGTATGAACTTAAGACAATTTAAAAAGTCAGTGCTTTCTGTGAGTTAAGGCTAAAACAGGATATACTGTAATTTTTTTTGAAACAAACTGCTATAAAACTCAGAATTTGATAGGTCTTTGAGATCTAAAATCTGTTTCTAGCTCTGCCAGTGACCTAGCTGTGTGACCTTTAACTTTTGGGTGTTCATTTATTAAAATGAAAGAGCTGGAGAACTGTGTAGAGGCCACTCACATGGAAGATCCCTAATTTACACCTCACCTTCCCATGGCTCTCAGGACCTCAAATGGAAGGAGGAAGAGCTTGATCTGAAGAATGCTGAAGTATGTTGAAGACAACGCCTCACCTAGTCTCTCCAGGGACTAGTATTTGATAGTATACGATCTCTTACCTTTTATTTTCTCATAATTGAATATGGGAGATCAGGAGTCACAAATTCCTTTTCTTGGCAGTTTCTCCATTTACCTCTGATGTAGAGTTTTATTAAAAATAGCCCTATTCTTCAATATTTAAAGACAGAAAGTCAACTCATAGCCCTTTTGTGAAGGAACAGCTGTACTGAAGAATGCTGTAAATAATGAATAATAAGCATGTTGATCACTCTAAATGACACAATTCTATTTGAAAGTTTAAATACATTGTGAATGTGCTGTTCTTAGCCATGAGAGTCTCAAGCAACTGAGATACATTGTTACTAGTGTAAAATCAAATACTCATAAATATTTTTAATAGATATATGCTCCTGTTAGGGTCAAGATTAGGCTAGGAATTAAATAACGTCTTACTTAATATATAGTGGTCTACTTAGGTTTCATGATTTCTCCAGGAGGACAGATGGAATTTTTAGAGGCAGATTATATCCTTTATAGTTGTTAAAATAAAAATATTATCATCAATCTGTTTTTATTTGTATGTGGTTGAGAGAGTCAAGCTCATTCCTACAGCTACAACTACTTTTTCTACTACCACCATCAGCTGGATTTGTCTTAAATATTGAATATACATGGAGTTAAAGAGTAAATTGAATTTAAAAGCTTAGTGGAAATCTTAGAAAGTTTCACACAGCAAATTAGGGACAGAGCTGGTACTAGAACTAATGTCTCCTTATTCCTAGTCCAGTGTTTTGATTTGTATACCACATTATCTATTAATTCTTCTTTTAAAATATTGTAATTAATCATTTTTCCTTTTGCCTTTATAACAAAGATTGGCCCTCTGACAAAGATTTAAAACATTTTTACTTCTGTAACATGTTTACCTGATTATGAAATTAAAATCAAGTAGGTTTTTTAAAAATTTTTATTTCTAGAACACTAGAAATCATTAATCAGCTTTGGAGAATTAAGATGGTAATAAGGTAAAATGTTTACTAGTGATTTTCATTACTGAAATTTTATGAGCCTTTAGCATTATTAATACATTGAAATCCTTAAAGGCTGAAATTATTTCTTCAGCTCCATATCTTTTTGGTGGTTCATGAGGAAGTAAATGTTGTTATTAGAATAAATTTTAAAACAAGTTAGAGATTTACTAAGAGCTTTCTGTGGATTAATGCGAAGACAAATAGCTGTAGCCAGCTCTGGCTGAGTAAAAACAGAATCCTTTACTTTCAGTTAATGGTTAACTTTGCATGATTTCTTAAACAAAAATAGCTTAAAGCTGGGCATGGTGACACAAGCCTGTACTCTCAGCTACACAGAACACTGAAGTGGGAGAATCCCTTGAACCCAGGAGTTTGAGGC